TTATGGATTATGGACTCATATTTTGGCCAGAAGAGACGATCTGAATTTATGCCTTAATGATGGATTTGTTTCTTGCAAACACTCAGCTTTTGTCTTCTCCAGATGTTAACTGATGGACTGGAGTGCTGTGGATTATTGTGATGTTTTAATCAGCTGTTTGGACTCTCATTCTGACGGCACCCATTCACTGCAGAGCATCCATCACTGAGACACTGATGCAATGCTACATTTCTCCAAAACTGATGAAGAAACAAACTCACCTACATCTTGGATGGCCTGAGGGTCATTTTTGGGAAACTTCAGATAAATTTCCATCAGCTCTCTGTTTAATCTCTCTGCTGTCTCAGAGAAACAAAAAAGACTTTAAAGAGATCTTATTTAGTAGATCTAGTTCTGTATAGTACATAGTAGTGATATATGTTGAGTTTGTCTGGGTGTTTGTTGTGTTTTAGGTATAAATGGGATTGAACCAGAAAGCGTGGCGCCCACTGGACCTTTCAGAAACGTGGGATTGTCCAAAGCCGCAAAAACCCATCGGCTGCGCAAACTGCACACGCCATCAAAGTGCAGGGAATGTGACAGCTATGTTTATTTCCAGGGCGCAGAATGTGAGGAGGTGAGACCATTTCAGTGGATTTATACTGTTGACAGAAACCGATAAAACTGTAGATGTATGATCACCTGATTGGATAGTACGGTCAGATCACTGATGTTCAACGTCAATTCACATTTATTTATATAGTGCTTTATACAATAAACAGGAAAATAACAATAAATTCAATTATGAAACAGCTTCCATTTCAGCTGTAAAGCAGCTCTACAGAGGACAGCAGTGTTATTCAGCTCGATTCAGTTAAAGGTTCGTTCTCATCCGATAGTGTAACGTGTGTTTGTGTCAGTGTTTCCTGGCGTGTCATAAGAAGTGTCTGGAGTCCCTGGCCATCCAGTGCGGTCATAAGAAGCTCCAGGGCCGTCTGCAGCTCTTCGGCCGTGATTTCTCTCAGGTCCTGCAGGGCGACGTGGAGGGCGTTCCCTTCATCATCAAGAAGTGCATCACAGAGACAGAGAGGAGAGCGCTCAAGATGAAGGTGCGAGAGGAAAGCTTTGAAAATAATCAAGTTGTTCTGTTCCTGTATTTTCCCTGTTTTCTGCCTTTGCCTGAATGTTTACCTCTGATACATTTGCTCATTTCTTCATTTGCATATTCATTCTGATTGGTCAGTTTACCTTTGCTCTTCGCAATGCCATCTTCCTAATTCTCGCCTAGGCTGCCACTTGAAGAAAAAAATGAAGTAAAATAGCAAAAATAAACATCTTTATACTTTATATGCAGATTTATGCAGAGTTTTTAACTCTGTAAGGCCTGACTTATGCAATAATAATAAGACATTTTTTTTTAGATCAAATATTTAGTTTAGATAGAACCTTTAGATAAAATATAAAAAGTGTTTTTGTTTTGTATTATATTCGATGCATCATGCTTTTATGGCTCATATAATGTGATATAGTGAGAATATGGAGGAAAAACAGCTGAATTTTATTCAGTGACTCAAACTGAGCAAAAATACAATTTGCTGCAGATGCTGATATTTATATGGACAAAAACATGAAATTCTGATGCTTGTAATGTAAATCAATGAGATCTTTATAACAGTATAGCAGATACTGACATAAAATGCTATAAATATCAGTCCATATCTCCAATAATACGTCTTAGTAAGATGAGATTGAAATGATCCAAACATATAATGCAATGCAATCCAATGATGATCGAGAGATGAACGAATAAACGCTCCTCAAAAGATCCTGACTCTGATTTTTCTAAAAAATTATTTTATGGATCATCAAGTAAAGCTGAGTTGCTTCAGTCCAGTAAGTGTTCATCTGGAAATATTACCAAAGTTATTCTTACATCTACTTCAGTAAAGATTTGACAACAAAAAGACACGTGAAGCAGGTGGACATTTGTACAATTAGACTAAACGGCCTTTTACTTGATAAACAAAAACTCTAAACTATCAATCAGACGACAGAAGGCATGGAGTAGATTGTTTACGACAGGTTTAACAGCAATGTTTCATCATTTAAAGGCCTTTGTGCATCAAATATGTGACCCTGGACCACAAAACTAGTCATAAGGGTACATATTTAGAAATTGAGAATTAAGCTTTCCATATACATCTGAATAAATACGCTTTCCATTGATGTGTGGTTTGTTAGGATAGATTTTGACCCATACAATGTATTGTTGGCTATTGCTACAAATATACCCCAGCGACTTGAGACTGCTTTTGTGCTGCAGGGTCACATATGATACAGTGTACTTTATAGGGTTGATGCTTTTCTTTGAATGTCTCCAGGGAATCTATCGTGTGAATGGAGTGAAGACGCGTGTGGAGAAGTTGTGCCAGGCGTTCGAGAACGGTAAAGAGCTGGTGGAGCTCTCTCAGGCGTCTCCATACGACATCAGCAACGTGCTGAAGCTCTACCTCAGACAGGTGAGTCACCTGACACAGGGAAATGTTCCTGTAACAGTGAGCAGCATCACAATCATCGTCTCCGTCTCCTCCTCAGCTCCCAGAGCCCATCATGCCCTTCCGTATGTATAACGATCTGATGGGACTGGCCAAGGAAAGCCTGAACTCGGAGGCTGGCGAGGGCGTGAAGAGCCCAGAGCTGGTGGATCATGGGTCAGAAACCGAACCTGAAGTGCTGGTCTTAGTGGAGAAACTCCGTGAGCTGCTCAAGCGTTTGCCGCCTGCTAACATCGCTACGCTCAAGTACATCATTCGGCACCTGCGCAGGTGAGATTCTGCAGCGTCATACCTTAACTCTTTAAGTGCCACCCCCCATTTTTAATATAGATGTGAAAGTGCACTATTCAGACTTAAATTGTTATAATTCATGAACGCTTTGGAATACAATGTCTCCAGGGAATCTATCGTGTGAATGGAGTGAAGACGCGTGTGGAGAAGTTGTGCCAGGCGTTCGAGAACGGTAAAGAGCTGGTGGAGCTCTCTCAGGCGTCTCCATACGACATCAGCAACGTGCTGAAGCTCTACCTCAGACAGGTGAGTCACCTGACACAGGGAAATGTTCCTGTAACAGTGAGCAGCATCACAATGATATAAAAAAATTGAGGTTCCTGTGAGATTTTATTTAGGGCGTTATACCACAAACAGCCACCGGGTGCCATCAAAACTCCATTGAATTTTTCTGTCACAAATGTCTAAATATCTCTGTCAATATTACTTATATCACAAAATAACCACCAAATATGGAATCTTGATACTCAGACATTTCCGACGATATGTATTTTGTCAAGATTATAAAAAGTTTTGATTCTAAAAGACCATAATACATTTTGTAATATGACACCTGACTCCACCCACTAAGGTGGTATGTTTCCATGGTAACGCAATTTAAAAATCCGATTTCAAAATGGTTTTCACAGGATGAATTTTGAGATTTTAAGCTTTCAAATGATATGTAATTTATGATTATTACTAAGATATGTGACAGAGAAAAAAGACAACGAAAAAAAGAGCACCAACGGGCCCACCGGTGGGCTGGTGGCACTTAAGAGGTTAAGAAACAGATTCATAACATACGCAGGGTTTATAAACCACTCGTGATTCACAAAGAAACTGAAGGAGGTTCTTTGACATTGAGAAATGTCAGTGCCATATTAAATTATATATAGAAATTATGTATATTCTTTAAGGTATAAGTAAACCTAAGTTGCATATTAAATTCATAATAATTATTAATAATATTAATATTAAAATAAAATATTGGCACTTTGCTGTAAACCTTAGAAAAATGTGATAAAATATTTTTTAAATGTATCAT